TTTCATTACTAATTGTGTTTGTATTGAACAGATCCGACATAACTATCAATAAATCCGAGTATTATTACTATCACTTCATTAGTAAACAACTCATTGATAGTGCCTTTAAGTTGAATCCAAGAGTACAGAACCGATACTATGAACTCCAAGACAGTGACAGTACATCCGAAGTGTTGATCACTCTATTGGATGACGACCTCAACAGAAGGGATAACCATTTGGCGAATCTCTATTTGGATTCAGTTAAGAATGAGATCGCAATACTTCTTCGCGCCAAAGACTTTCTCAACAGTTCTGTGTCCACACAAGTGTCTCAATCGGTGACCACAATTGAGAGAGTTTTGGCATTTCATCTGACAATAGCTGTTATCGCTATCTTTACTGTCATTTTATGTCTCACTCTATTGTGCTCTACCTTTGGATATAAAGATTGCAAACAAAATAAAGAGTCAAAGCCTGACATCAATGTTGAACGCAATGACACCGTCTATAGCGTTGAATTTGATGATAAAATTCAAATATTTGCCACCAATTCATATAAATAATCAAAACATTTCCATATATTTAATACATCTTTCAATACATTTAACACATTGTTATTAAAATTCTTTCGCATATCATATTAACTAAACTATTATTAATACCGTATAACTTATTCATTACTGTATTTATTTAACATTTTTTTAAAATTCATTTCTTATTGCATTCAATAAAAGCCAAACAATTCATTAAATAAATTATTAAAATAAATCTTAATTTAAAATAATAATAAATAATTTATAAAAACATTTGTCTTAATAATAAACAAAATGCGAGTAAAAGCCATAAACTATAGAAATGCTACAAAATCGTTGTTTTGTCAGAATCTAACACATCATTGAATTGCAAATCAATTGAATCAATGTTTTCGGTTAACCTCAGGTTATCGATCACTGTATCATCTAAGGTGTCAGTCGTGGCCACACTCTCGGTGTCATCCCTTTCACTGTTGGCTCCACTTCTGGTATGCCTTCTGTAGAACCAATCGACCGGAAGTCCACTCATTTGTGCCATATCTCCAGATTCAAGGCTTAGTTTTCTTAAAGCTTTGGTTAACTTTGGAGACGAAGACACAGGCGATTCAGCGCCGACACCACAACCTCTCGACTCGAGAAGTAATAAATTATCGATTTTCCTCTTTTGGTTGATCTCATCGCTGATCTCTTCGAGTCTATGCAATGCTTTCGAGTAATTGAGTTTAGCTTTTGCCACTCTCTGCTCATACGAACGGATAAATAATTAGACAAGGATTTCACGTCATGTAAAGTGTAGTCAAGAGGTAACAATCCGTTTTTGTATAGTTTGTTTACGTTTAGTGTGAGTGCAGATTGTAAACCAATTTGACCGGAAAGTAAAGTTTATATGGCCTAAAATTAAAATATATTTTGTTAGAAAACTGCTAGAAATACATTTTGTTAGTTTACAGATAAATGAAAAATTAGTGAAAAACCAAAGAATAGCAATGAATGAAAGAAAACATAAAAGAAGTGCACATTATATATGAAATGTTAGAAATAAGATTTAATAGGATAGAAATGCCGCAAAACCACCAAAAATGCAAACATTAGTCAATTGGGTTTCGCGCTATTGTACACACACAAAATCACTTCGTTTAAACGATTAGTATACTTAATACTCAGATTTACTGCTAATTACTGTAATTCTGAATGTCATTGACATTGAGCACGACTAAGCTTATATTATTTAATTGTAATAAATTCCGACGCGATTCCAGACTGTCAGCCGAATAGATGTTTGTTTAAACTTAAACTCAAAAATGTTTTTACAATAAAAGATTTCCTATTATTTGAAATCATTTAGAGGTCAATATTGTGATTAAAATCATTTCTGTTTAGATCTTACAGTAAGCTTTTTAATAGGAATCAGAATAAATTCATTTATGATACCCATTGCAGTCAACCATAAAAGCAGTTTTGACATCAGATTACAGAATAAATGTTTTATAAACTCAATACAAGTACAGTATGTGTTGTATTCAATGTATTGTATACTATTAGTCCACTTTTTGAGGATTACATTATTATAATCACTTGTCTTTGAATCCTATAAATTATTTCGTTTAATGTTTTACCGGTAATACAATCAATGGGATGACAAAAATGTTTTTCAAGACTATTTAAAAAAAGTTTCAAAAAGTTTAAAACATTTTTGTGTCAATTTTTGTTTTTATTTCTGAAATAAATCTCAATTTATGTCATCATTGAAACAATTGCTTAGAATTGAATGAATATAAATAAAAATATCTAACTTACTGTTATTTCTGGAAAGTTACCAAACTCAAGAACTTGTTTTTTAAATATTATTTTTATTGTTTAGTTTGTTTACCATATTATTATTTCATGACTATCTACTCCTTTCCCTACGGTGTGTTACCTGGCCTTATTTATTTGGCGTTTGAGTTGTTTATGCAATTGTAGTACCAATTGCTCTGAATTGTTATATTGATGAGATATGTTCTGGTGGTGTAACTGTTCACTCACTCTCTCGCGCTCGCAATCATTCACACGAATGGTCGAGTGGTTGAGCACCTCCTGCCACGAGGGGTCCAATACATTGCCGTCCTTTTGGAGGCCCTCTTCGGCTAATCTCACCATCTCTTTGGCCGCCATATGAGAACTGGTGGCCCTCTCGAACCGCAGGGCAGCCCTCTGTGTCTCTAACCTCAAGTCTTTAGCCCTAACCCGTGCCTCATAGTAGGGCCTGAAATGAATGCATTTGTCATGAATGACAAGTCATAGCAATCCACAGATGAGGTCATACTTCACGCGCTCCACACATGAGCCCAACTTTTTGGCCATTTCTGAGATCTTCTGCGAGGAATCGCTGAGCAGTAGATGGAAATGAGTTCTCGACTCCTTTCCAGACAAAGCATACAATTCATACAATTTAGTCATTTTGTCACCAATTATGGCATCAATACTCTTATAATTGCTAACATTTACTGCATTCTAACCGTACGTACGATAGTCTAAGAGTAATCACATTTCATTGCAAATAACTATAGATTATTGCATCAAATAATAGATATTTTTGGCATTATATATAAGACTATAATTAGATCCCAAGATATCAAATGAGACATACATTGAGTTCGACCTCCAGTTTGTTGATCAAATCGGTGGATGTGTTGAGGTTTTCGAGCTCTATCTGTAGACATCCAATCAAATACATCTTCAGATATGACACCAAGTGATGGACAAATCAATGGTCTCTCACCTGAACTCTCGGGTCAGGAATGGGTGAGAAGTGGTGCTCAATATCATCGATGCAATCATCGGTGGTATGCGAGCCATTCATACGTGTGGGAGGATCTGCTGACAACATCGGTGGTGATTGTGTGATCACCACAACAGTGGTATGGATTGAGTGATAGTTTATTGTCTCAAGTCATCAAAGAGTGATGTATTGGATGAAGAGTTGGTGTCATTTGGTCTCAAGACTTGAGACTCAAATGGACTAACCGTGCGATCAATGACTCAAATGAATGGCAAAAGTGATGTAAATATTGTGTTTGAGAGATGGCTTACAAACGGTCTGTCCGTATATGTAGTGACGATTAGAAACGATAGGTATTTCGTGTGATAATCCATATCTCGTGCCAATCAATGTCTTCATTTATCTTAAGTTTTATGGTAGACGTGATGAACAACTGGTGATCTCCTATCTAAATCCCTGTGCAATTAGACTACCTGTGCTGTACTTATCGGTGTGTTGCCTATGCCTGCAATGGGTCGCACTGTGTGACAGTGATGCAGCACAGGTGGGGTAAGTCATGTGAATAATTGGGTTAACTCTACGGACACTCGTTTGACCCAAACTTACATTGCATTCAATTTGTTAAATATATACAAATTGCAAACTAATTAATAAATGGCACTCATTATTATAATTGCTATAATGTTCACCTCTTTGTCAAACTCCATAAACTTCTCCTTAATTTTTTTCCAAGTCTTTTTAAAGTTTTGGTATTTTTATGGTAGGATTGAACTTGATCAAAAAGTTTTATAACTTCTCGGAACTATTATTAAGTTTAGAATCTATAAATAGATTTTAAACCTTTAGGTATCAAATGAAAATTAAAATAATCATATTTTAAGACATTTAGAATAAGATATAATATATTATACAGAATAAATATAAAAAATTATTATACTTGTATCGGGTAAAAAAATTAATTTCCGGACTGGACCTTGATCAGTAAAAGTTCGCTTATTTATTAACCAAAAATTTTTTAATTAATCTGCTTAAACCCCTTATACTCATTGAAACCATAAATCATTTGGAAAATTTTATCAATTATATAATATATTGTAATAATCAATAGTATGTTCAAAAATATGGACAATTTTATGACATTATATTTAATAAAAGATGTATCATGTAAAATCACAAATTACCACATTATTCTTACTATTTATACATTTATTAATACAGTAATAAGTTATTATATTTAATTAATACCTGTATACTCATTTAATGGTATAATTGATTAAAAATAAGATAATAACTTATTATTATTTCAGTAAGCATTAATTTTAAATAAGCTCACAATTGAGTTTGTTAAGCACAATGTGACTCTAATTAATGTGACCTGTTATATGTTTGCACTATAACTGTAAAATCAAACATAAAAAATCGAATTTAATAATACAGGTATTACAGTTTCTTGATTTATCATAATTATTTTTAATTTAATTATTTTGGATTAGTGGATACTTTTACTTTTAATACAACAGAACATGAATACGGTGTATTTATACATCAACATCTATAATACTGTATAGATTCTATTATATTATATATTTAAATAAAAAATAATTCTTAATTAGCAGTTATAATACTGTAATGCTAATTCAAACATTCGTTCCCTACTATAGTTGTATAAAAATATACAGCATTTATTAAATATTCAAAAAGTCATATAGTGAGACAGACCAACAACAAATATATTTCATGTTGTGCATGGATACTGTATCTAATCCATGGCCTGATATCTCTCACCGCAAATATGTAAATATGTTTTCGTATACTCTATTGATCAAGATCAATCATTAAAATGATCGTAAATAATTTTGGTGAGAATATTATGAGAATGACAATATTTTCCACAATCGTTAAGCTTTGAAAAGTAATTCTGTATTTAGAAGTTTGCAAACATTATCAGAAATACTTTTGCAGCAAAAAAGAGAAAAATTGTCTAAATTTCAAATGTTTCCTATAATTACTGAATTCTAATTAAGTTTTATGACCAGAGGTTTAGAAACAAAAAGTTATTTAATAATACTGTACTGTAAGCATACTTTTATTCTACTCTAATAAGCTTTAACTGTTACAAAATATAACTAATACTGTATTTTGTAAAATATTTGACAATCTCAAGAAATTATATGAAAAGTTGTCAGTTGTCTAGTGAAAAGAAATGAATGCAATGGAAAACTATTGAAAAAATGTTAGGAATAATAGTTTATATGTATTTCGTTAAGAGATTGAATGCAAAAATAATTTATAATCAAAAATCAAAAGTGTTTTACAATAGAAAGTGATTATAAGAGGAATTCAGACGAAAGATATGAGACATAAGTATTACAAAAGCAATCGCAAGAAAAAGCAGAGAATAGTATGAAATGAAAGGATTGCCTTCAATGAGGACCAGTCACTAACAGGTACTACACTATTGTATGCATTGTATGACGAGTACCACAATTGCCATCAAAGAGGCGGATGAAGGTATACGTCATCCTCAGTGAACAGTCACTCCATTCGGACATACAGTTAGTGTACATCTTATACATGAGTGCATACGAGAGACAACGAGTGATAAATGAGTTTGAAATATACAAATAATTTATATATTCTTCACTTTTGGCGATGTATTATGTATTTTGTATTATATTTAATATAATTTCCAATAACTTATTCCAAGAATTTTCTTACAAAAGTACTATGAGTTCAATGTCGAGACCTATGCATTGATTGCGTAAAACATTGCAATTAGTCTAATGCCTGTCTTTTCATGTTTCGCATGTTTTAACTATATAATAAAGCATTAAATGTCAAAATATATAATTGAATAGATAATTTAGCAATACCTTGTCACGCATACATAAATATTTCATTAATAAAAATATGTAACTTATATAATGGACTAAATAGTAATAAATTAATTTGTGATCAAAAAAGGCGACACTACCCTCACTTCATTGAAACTTCACTAAACTATAAACTATTTTCATTTTATATAAACTATTTTTATTTTATAAAAGACAATCGTAGATAAAATGCCATTTAAGGCATACAAAGCCTTCACGAATAAACTAATATTTATTGAATTTTTTCATCAATTGAGGTAAAAAATGTATTTTATTGTCAAACAGTTAATAACTTAAGTATTGATTGCATTTTTATTGATTGATAGATAAGATTAAACCCCCTCCCCCTCTAGCCTCTTGTGCGCCCCTAGACCTGGAGGGAGTGGTACAGTACTACAGTAACTAAGAATTGTTGATGGATAACATTAAAAGTCAACAGGATGTGTATTATAGTCTTAACTACCGGTGCTGTTCATTAAACCCTTATTAACTTAAACATTGATAACTTATAAAATGATTTTCAAATTGCTTCTCTTCTCTCATATGATAGCAATAGTTTTGACAAAAAACGTTTTTCATTTAAATGTCAATTTAAATATACAGTACTGTATTACAAAATACAATAACATGTGAACTCAATTACATAACTGCTTATTAGTTGACATGCAAACACAGCTGACATTTCAAAGTTAATACATAATTCAAAAAACTTTCTTTTAATAAGAAGTCAAGAATTGGTTATAAAAAATATGTGTTAAGTACAGGAAAATGTATACAAATCACAAATACAGGTAAAGGAAACAAATCATTAAATAAGAGTTATTTGTAATTAACAGTTGTTTTGGCATTTTTCTTGTTTTTCGACTAAATTCTTGAATGACTTATTGTTGGCATATATTGCGAAAAAAGTAGGAAAACAGAGAGATTTGTGATCGAAGACAACAATTTAGTTGTTTTGTTGACTTTTGTTCAGAAAATGCATTCATTGAATCAGTGAATAGCATTTGAGTGCAAATTTATGGTAAAAAAGCATACATTGAACAAACAGTATAACACTGAAAGTTATTTAATACTTTCAATGCAAGTCTTGTCTTACTTTTGAATTTAATAAATTGAATTCAAATTCAGGCCATTATTGAACTAATCATTAATTTTTATGAGTTTCGAGATTTTCCCCAAACAATAATGAGATTTAATAGCATTACAGGCATTCAAGTCTAGAAATCAATATTAATTCACAACTTAAGCCATGCGTTCAATCAATTGATTAGACATTTATTAGTAATGCAACTATTATTTAAAATTCATTGAAATTACATAATAATTCATTTTAACATTAAATAATGGTTTCAATGATAGTGTAGGGTTTGAGTGGTTTTCATATTTCAAACAATATATAAGTTTGAGAACAATGACCGACAGTTTGGTTGCAATTGTATTGTAAGTGATATTAGAGACGATAGTCTCATACATATGATATGGTATGGCATGAGACCATACAATGATTATATGAAGCACTGGTAGGCATGACTTGTCTGTTCCAGTGGTTGTCTCAATGGTTTCATGCTTTAGTCAATACAGAAATGGGACACAACCGAGATTATGATGATCAACATCAACAACCCTAACATCACACTGGGCTCAGGGATCACGACTTACCACTCACTTGCAAATGGACCAGAAATTAGATCAACTGATCCTCAGGTTATCAACACTTACTGCACATAAGAGTTGTATAAATATAACTATAATCTAATGCATGTTATGTTATGTTATATAACTATCATATCATTGTATTATACTATAAATACAACCAATTATTTATAGAAATACAATACAATTACAACATATGATTGCCATTACATTACAGTCACAGACATTACACTCATCTCTAATCAAATCAAATCTATTTTAAGCAAACATTCACTCATTTATTACACAATTAGATATCATTTATTATATTATAATCACATCACAAGACCTCTTAATTATGCCATTTATATGACACACTATTGGCTAATATCAAGTCATGGCAGCCACTGTGGCACCAGTGGATCAAATGGATCACCTCAATGGTCACCCCATGGTTTGGTGAACAGTACTACACTAGTAATAGGCATTGAAATGCAATCATATTTACCCAATTGTAGTGATGTCTGGGTGTGAGTTGGTGTGGATGTCATAGAGAGACCATTAGATGATTAGATGCATTCAAATCACATATATGTCCATCACTTCATCAAATACAACACACCATTGGATTCAATGAATTGAGTGCACAATCAGTGGTAATAATAGTGATACTAATGATGATAGTAGTAGTGATGCTAATTGTAATCAATTGTATGACAAATGTAAGCAAATATATGCCAAACGTATGGCTAATATGAATGTAATGCTTAGACTGAATGCAAAGAAAATATGAGTTTTAAAACTACTGTAAAACTCAACCTTTGGTGACGTAATGGCTTAAGGCGTGGATATGATTGCCATTACAATGCATTGCATTTCTCAGTCAAGCATTGCATGCCGTGATTGGGGACACAAATAATGCATTTAATTGTAACGTAACTGTGTATGCATTACATAATGCTTCCTACAGTAC